CAGCCCCCCCACCTCCCACCTCCGCGGCATGCCTGTGGTGTTTGTGTGCTGTGTTTGGCTCAGTCTGTCCTGAGCACTTTCCTGCTGCTAGCCATCATGATTATCATTTCAAGTGACTGTGTCACTGTCCATTTAATGGACGGACTAGGATTTAGTTCACTGCTCCTTCCTCATGTGAGCTGTGTGCCGGCAGCCACGGCAGCCGAGGCAGCAGAAGGTCCGCGGGGAGGGACGCGAGGAGGGGCGCGGAAGGGTGGAGGCGTGCGGGGACCCCGTCCCAGGTGTTCTTTCCGTCTCGCCGGCTCTTGGGGGCTCCGTGCCCCAGCTCCGGGTCTGCACCCTCCCGGTGGAAGGGAGCGGGCTCTGTTGGCGGCCCCTCCGTGGCAGGCCGGGTGCAAAGCCTGATCTCCCACGTAGTCCTGCCGGGCAGAACTTGCTCGCGCTTTGCACACCGGGCCAGGGGGGTGGTGAGGAGAGCAAGGAAGCATGTTTGCCAGAAAACCCCAGAGCCCACGTTCCTTCCACCACAGCCCGGGGTCTCCTTCCCCTCGAGTTGGCCCTGCACTCCCGTCCATGGAGCCCATCTGGAAGGCTGGGAGAAGTGCTTTCCTGATTTGGGGGGGGGTGGTACCGGGTTCCCTGCCCCCCCCCCCCCCCCCGGGACATCCCGATGCTGCAGTCACAGCTCCGGGTCTCTCTCTCCACAGCCTTACGACAGTCTGCCTACCTCACAGACCTGCTTCTTCCAGCTGCGGCTGCCCCCGTACTCGAGCCAGCTGGTCATGGCCGAGCGCCTGCGCTACGCCATCAACAACTGTCGCTCCATCGACATGGACAACTACATGCTCTCGCGGAACGTGGACAACGCCGAGGGCTCGGACACCGACTACTGACCGTGCGCGGGGCCGCCGCCCCTTTTCTCAGTAACGCTCACTTCCAATTTCATGTGGACACACTTTGATGGTAACTACATAGATGTTTAGGAACATAAACCGACATTATAAACAGTGGCCACATTTAGTTACTCTAAATGTAACAAACAAATTAGATGTTTTTATTTTTCTGTGATTGTACAAAAAAAAAAGACGAAGTGCTCTCAGTCAGGTTTTTCCCTCCACATTTTTGGTCACTTTTGATAAGTTTGCATGGAACCATTTTGGTGCATTTTTAGTTGGGAATGGTACATTTTTGTAAATCCACCCAGTGAACATGAAATTGTACATTGTGTATAATTGTTCATTAGAAAGGACAGTTTTACATGAATATTCATATATTTATTTTGTTTTAATTTGAATTGCCTGTGCAGGGTTCCTTATGCAGAGAAATAAAGCCAATTCAGGAACCAGAGCGTGGGCTGCTTTTGTTACCTCCAGTGGAGCTTCTGACTGAGAAAGAACGAGCTTTCGGGCTAGTCTCACTCTGACGGCGTTTTGACGCATCAGAAACACTCCTTCACACTGAGAGTGAGCTTTGCGTGGAGAAGACAGAGCAGCTCCAGAGAGCGGGAAGCCCCTCCTTTCATTTATTCTGTCATCCTGGGTGTCCTACACTTCGTTCCCTCACCCCAAGGCCCTTGCATCAGCCCCGTGGCCCATCCCCTCAGCAGCCCCCTTCCTCCTCCTCTGCAGCTGGGTTTTGAGTGTAACCTGCTAATAAGAGCCTGTCCTGAGTAGCCCTGGGAGACCTAGTGCGGGGTGCAGCTCCACCAGGCAAGGAGGAAGCTAACCAGAGGAGCATGATTCCAGTGCTGCCTGTGGGGAACCAGCGGTGGGCGTAAAGAGCAGGGAGGTCGACGGTGGCGTGTCTCTGCAGGAAGGGCGTGGGGTGCAGCAGGGGTTGCTGGTAGGCACTCAGCGTGCACGAATGAGTGACCAGGAGAACGAGCGAGTGAGTGTGTGAAGTAATATGAGAACCAATGAGTGGCTTTCGTATCCTTGAATGGTGGATGGTGGAGAGTTGTTCAGGGGGCCGGGAGAGGGGTCCCACTCTTGGTGCTTGAACCCAGGCCTTGAGGGCCCTGGGCAATGTGCTCCTTTGTCCAGGCGTGTCAGAGTGAGTGTGTGGTTCGGGAAGAAAGGGCCATGGTGAGAGCAGCTGTGAAGGCTCTGGCTGCTGGGAGTGGGAACAGGAAGAGGGCAAGGCCTTTGGGTGGTGTGTCTTCGTCGACAGCCAGTTCTGGCCACAGCTGCTTCCCGTGTACTTCAGGGACTGGGTCAGGCTGACAGCCTGCTCAAATGAGGTGCCAGATGGGGAGCTTTGCAGGCAGTTGTTTTTCACAAGGAAGATAGGAAATACGTGTTTTCAAAGAGAAATTGGAAGACAGATAACGGTTTGTGGTACATAGATCTTTCCCAGTGAGAATGCCTATTATTACTTGGAAAGAGGCTTAGTTTTATTGAAAAGAGGCTTCAGTTGGAATTGGGTCTCAGAGGGAGAGACAACAGCTTCTGGGAAGCCACAGGGGTTCTGGGCAAAGAGGAACCTTCAATACTTGATGTGAGAGCTCAGTCCGTAGGAGCGGTGAGGGGCTCTGGGCTCGAGGCACTCACTCTGGGGTGGGAAGGCACACTGCCCAGGCCCCTGGGCCGGAAGGGACCTAAGAGGAGGGAGGCCTCTGTGTGCTGCTGAGATCCTGGACAATGCCAAGCGAGGGCTCTCTTAGAGCCTTCTGGGCTGGTTCTTGGTAACTAGTGGCTTTTCCTTCTTGCTGGGCTGGGCTGAGGGTGTGCTGAGCTAAAGGATACATCTGCAGTCTCAGAATTTATTCTAAGTTTTTATTTATTTATTTGAGAGAAAGAGAGAGCATAGCCAGGGGGAGAGGGAGATGGAGAAGGAGGCTCCCCATGAGCAAGGAGCCAGATGTGGGGCTCCAGCCCAGGACCCTGGGATCATGACCTGAGCCGAGGGCAGACGTTTAACCGACTGAGCCACCCAGGCGCCCCTCAGAAATTACTTTAAATAAAAATAATGCCTCAGCCTTTGAGAGGCTCTGGCCTCTGCTGCCATATTTGGCTCTGCACTGAGGGGCAAAGGTACCCCAGCAGGCTGATGCTCATGGTTGCAGGCCCCACCTGTCAGGCTTCTCAGGAGGTCTGACCCTGCAAGGAAAATCTGCGCAGACACCTTGATTTTATAACAGATGCCATTTCTTTACTGGAAACCTGTCCTTTTTCTTCATTCTCTTTTAGAAGCCCTGGGGGAGAGAGGGAGGCGTGAATCCCTGGTCGGAGGGGCTGAAAGGGCCCGGCACAGGTGTTTATTTTCCCTAATTCATTTTCAGCCCCTCTGGGGAGACTTGGGCAGTTTTTTTGTTTGCTGGATCATTCAGCTAAATCCTTGCAGTTTTTGTGACCCTTAAAGAGCCCCCAGAGAACTTGGACCCCCCGCCTTTAAGATGTAGGATTTCCCAGGGGCAGCTTTGGTTCTGGGCCTCCCCACTTTGTGGCCTTTGCCCAGCACAGCCAGTCAGATGAAACCTATATCTGGTGAACTTGGTTTCTAGCAAAAAGCAAGCCTTAGGCGTGGACCCTAGAGCTGGAGGAATCCTAGAGCTAGGGTGTCAGGTAACCTCTCTTAAAGACCACGAAGCTGAGGTCGGGAGAGGGAAGGTGCTGGATCGCAGGTGTGTACAGGCTAGAGCTGGGAGCCCTGGCTTCCTGTCAACACACGTGCTGACGATGGTGGACCCGAGGGAGCTGAGTCCCCTCCAGATACTCAGCCTGTGCAGAAGCGGGCCAGCGTGTCCCTGTAAGACAAGCCTCACAGCCCTGCGTGCCCCCAACAGGCTCCGCCTCCCAAGGAGTGACCCGAGCCCCTGACCTGGGAGCATGTGGCTCCGGTCTCTGCTGGTACTGAGCTTCCTGCGCAGGCTCACCAGCACGATGGGTGACCGACGCCAGCCTCCCACCAGGGAGCACCGTCCTGCCCCGGGGCTGAGGTTCTGCACCCTCCCCCTAGCTTTTCCTCTCTGTGGCCATTGGCTGCCTTGGCCAAAACTGAGAGCGAATCGAGCATTCAGGAGCTAGGGAAAGTTTGTAGACTGTTCTAATAGAGGCTGTGAGGACGAAGGTAATCGCCATGCCATTTTCAAGTGGCTTTGGAACACGGGCTCCCATCTGCCCCTGGCTTCCCTGGGCTTGCCTTGGGCTTTCCGACTCTGCCTTTGCCGAACTGTGCCTGCCGGAAGGAGCACCCCACCCACAGTTAGACCCTGTGGGAGCTGGGGTCAGTCCTCCGTCGAGTGTTCCTGGATCACCCCCTTACGGCCCCAGCATGCTTCTTCCCCGTACCCAGGGCTCGTGGGTTCTGCCAGGCACTTGGCTTTTCTAGGCTGCCACGAATGTGAGGACACCTTCCAGACACGGTACACTGAGGCATTATCTCATCGGGGTGTCACCGAGAAGGTACTGGCCCTATTTTAGAGCTAAACTAAGGCTCCAAGAGGTCATAACCTGTCAGAAGTGATGGATGGCAGCGCTGCAGAGCACTCGAGGCCCCCCGCAACCCCCGATGAATGAGTCTGTGGATGCCCCTTGTTCTCTGCGGATCTGAGAGAAGCCGTCGAGTGCGGTTTCTGGTGAAGCCGGGCACTGTGTTCTGTCCAGGGCTCTGCTCAGTGCCCAGTGATGTGAACAGCACCTGTTAGAAGGCGGAGTGGAGAGCCCTGGGTCTCATCAGGGCCTGCCTTCCCGTGTACCTCGGATGGCCCTTGGTTCAGGGACCCAAAGCGCCCCAGAGGGGGTGGGGCCCAGTTCAAGCTCTAGAAACAGCGTTGGACGCGGCTGTCAGCGCGGCTTTAGGTCTGTGATCGCTAGAGCCTCGGTATGTGGAGGGTTACTGGGCACCAGAGGCTTCGCCAGGGAAGTTAGCCCTCGTTTATAAAAGAGCTTCGCATGGGTGGTGCGCCTGGGTGGTGCGCCTGGGTGGCTCAGTCGTTAAGCATCTGCCTTTGGCTCAGGTCATGATCTCAGGGTCCTGGGATCGAGCCCCGCATCGGAGAGCCCGCGGGAAGCCTGCTTCTCCCTCTCCCACTCCCCCTGCTTGTGTTCCCTCTCTCACTGTGTCTCTCTCTGTCAAATAAATAAATAAAATCTTTAAAAAAAAAAAAGAAGAAGCTTCCATGGGGAAAAGGAAAGGGGCCTCAGGTTACCCTATTTGAGCTGAACTTGCAGTGACTTCGGCTTTACGAACATGTGTTAATCCTTACTAGAACCCTGCAAGCAAGATTCTCCAGCAATCCCAATACACAGATTTAAAAGCTGAGGTTTGGAGAGGGGTGACTGGCTCTCAGTCAGAGGAGAGACAGAAACTAGGACTCTATTGTCCCCCACACTAAACCATCAGCTCAGGGCAAACAGGACCTGCTGGCAATTCAGGCTTATCAGAAATAATAAAAGCAAAGCCCTGGGGTTTAAGTGGTGCTGGTTTTTTTTTTTTTTTTTTTTTAAGATTTTATTTATTTATTTGACAGAGACAGCGAGAGAGGGAACACAAGCAGGGGGAGTGGGAGAGGGAGAAGCAGGCTTGCCGAGGAGCAGGGAGCCCGATGCGGGGCTCGATCCCAGGACCCCGGGATCATGACCTGAGCCGAAGGCAGACGCTTAAGGACTGAGCCACCCAGGCGTCCCTAAGTGGTGCTGTTTTAAATAAACATGTTTCCCCCTGGAAGCCTAAGCGTTTTTTTCAACACCGTTTGCAGTAGTGGGAAAATAAAATCCCCGCAAGGCCTCTTTCCAGAGTCCAGAGCTATGGGGGGTAAACTGGAAAATCACCCAGAGGAAGTGGGGTCCTCCTGTTCCCCTGCAGCTGACAGCCTGAGGGGGCTGGCTCTCCCCCCACACAGGGGTGAGGGATTGTGCCAGGCCGGGCCTCAGTGCCAACACCCACCTGCTTCTGGGCCCAGCGCTGGCCCAACAAGGGGCCGGGGACAGCAAGTGAGGCCTCCAGCAGGCCCTGGAGGGGTTGGGATGGGGTGGGTTGCTGCTTGCCCCACCCCAGGTTCTGCCTGGAGAAATTTCAGCCCCTCCGGCCCTCACCTGGCGATCATCTCTGGCTTGGGACCCTGGCTCCTGCTGGGAGTAGGTTGGCGTGGGGGCGCTGCAGCTCCCGTTTCATGCTCAGAGTAACCTGTGAGGCCTCTACAGCCACCCACATCCCTAGTTCTCTGATCTTTCCTGCTCCCCTTTCCCCCTTACTCACTCTGCTCCCGCCACACTGCTCTCCTGGCCCCCAGCTCGCAGGCCAGGCCCCTGCTCTGCAGCCCTTGCACGAGCTATCATTCCCTGCGCGTGCACTATTTTCCTGCCAGATGCCGCTCGGCTCCCTGCCTCACTTCACGTGGCGAGGCTCACACTGGTCAGCCCTTTTTAGGTCGCTTTCCCCCTCCCCAAGCCTTCCCCAGCAATTGCCAGTTATCCCTTACCTGGTGCTCCCCATCCCCCGCCCCCACCGTAGCCTTATTAGCTTCTTAGATACCAAGTATTTACTGTCTCTAATCCTACTAGAGAAAAAATTGTAATTTCTCTTTTTTCCTTGCCGGTTCCCCAATATTGGGCAACAGGTGAGTATGGGTCCAGATCCGCTTTCTCAGACAAGAAACACCTGGCCTCAGGTGACTTAAGGGCCCAGGTCCCAGCTGGTGCTGGGCGGAGCTGGAGCGTGAGCATGGCCCACCAGCCCGCTGTGCTCCCTGCCTTCCCCTCTTACCCAAGTTTTCACCGTGTACCTGGGACCAGGAGGCTGCTGCGGGGCCGGGAGCCTATACTTTGGCGGCCAAAGGTGGGACATCAGTGACTAAAGCTCTGCAACTGAGGTCGAGGTGTGTGCCCACGTTGAGCAAATCCAGCAGGTAAAAATTTAACTTTGTATGCGCCTCTAGTGGTTTCATTATCAAAGGACTTAACCAGGGCTGCTGCTTTTGTTTTCAAGTCTTTACTTAGGGTTTTCCAGATGCTTTCTAATGTCTTTGTGATGCGAGAACGGTATAAAATTAGGATAACTATGTGGTTTATGTTCAGAATCATATCGACCAGCGAATTTTCTAGAATCGTGTGTGTGGGCAGGCCCGAGCGCCGAGCGAAGGCGCGGACGGCAGGGGCCGCGGTGGCGGGCTGGGGGGGCTCGCTCCGGCTGTGCGCCCCGGCTCTCCCCCTCCTCCCGCCCGCTGGTGCAGCGGGCGGCTACGCTCGCGGGGAGCCTGGGCCACGCACGGCCGCGGGGCGAGCTTGCGGCGCTCGTTCGGCCGCCCGGGTCGTCCCGCCCCGTCCCCACGGCGCCTGCGCCCGCGCTCTACCGGGTGGCCACGCCTGCCCGTGGGGGTTATTTCGGCCCCCGACGGCGGTCGCAGTCCCAGGGGATGGTGTGGGCCTCTCCCCTGCTGCGGACAGCGAGTGGCGGAGGGCCCGGGGCGGAAAGGCGTCGGGTTGGATGCTGGCGTTCAGTGAGGGCTAGCCGGGTGTTTTCCCAGCATCCGGCTAATCTCGCACTCCGGTGCGTAAAACCGTAATGTGAGGTAGGCATTAGTGTCCCCGTTTTGCAGACAAGGACACTGAGGCTCAGAGATGTGGCGACAGTCTGGGAGGTGGAGGGGCTGGGGTTGGAAGCCAGGTCGCTCTTTCCGCCCGGGGCCCTTGGCTGGGTGTCGTGCCCCGGCGTGGTCGGCCTAGCGCGGCAGCAGCTTGCGAGCGGCCGTGCCGGGCGCGCTCGGGAGCTGGTCCGGGATCATGGCTGCGCTGTGCTCGGCCCGCAGCGCCAGGCGCGGGCACGCGGCGCGCAGGCGGCGCAGGCCGGCGGCGCTCACGTTGCGGCAGAAGTCCACGTGCAGCGTCTGCAGCGCGCGCCCGTGCGCCGCCACGGCAGCCAGCGTGCGGTTGGTGACGCGCGCGCAGTTCTCCAGGCGCAGCGCGCGCAGGCGCGGGCAGCAGCGCAGCAGGCACGCCAGGCAGTCGTCGGTGACGTGGCCGCAGCCTGAAAGCGTGACGGACGCCAGGTTGGGGCACCTGCGGAGAGATGGCGGTGGCCCCAGGTCGGGGCCCACGGCGGGTACGGTTGGCGCCCGCCCCGCGCCCCGCCCCTCCCGGGAGCAGCCCCCGGCCCGGTAGCTCCCTGACCGCCCTGGGACTCACGGCGTGACTCCGTGTATTGTGGGCAAGGAAGTGAACCGGGCTCAGCCCGTTGAAGGAACTGGCCTGCGATGACGCGGCCTGGATCAGAACCAGGTTTCTGTCCCCTTTCCCCTACTCTTTCTGCCTCTGCACTCCACCAGACCTTAATCTGCGTGGCCTCTTAGCTTCCTGAGCCGCCGCTGGTCCTGCTGTGGGCAGGGGCGGATGCAGGGTCCAGGAGGACAACTCTAGGTGTTTTTGGCTCTCTCCAGGCCTGTTGCTTTGGGGGGTGGGGGTGCGGGAAAAGATGCATGGTGACCACTCCAGTCTGGCTTCAAGCTGAGGCCCTGATGCTCCTGGCAGGACGGTCAGTCAGGTGGGAGCAAGGGTTTCCTATGGGGTGGCTTAGGGACAGGCACTGTTGAACCCTTGAGGCTGGGGTCGGGGCATAGCTCTGAGTATGCCTGGCTCTGGGTTCTAGACCCCTGGTTTGTGCTCAGTAAACTGGGACAGTTCTTGCATGCCCACTGGGATGCCAGCCTGGAAGAGGTCTAGAACCGGGTCTGAGGGGTACAGTCAGGGCCACTCATACCAAAAGTTTGGAGGCTCCTCTGCCCCAGCCTTACCAGCATTTGCTGGAGAAAAAGATCTTGAGCAGAGTTAGATTTGGCTTATTTCCGTGTGACCTTGGCTGAGTCACTCACTTGAGCTTCACTTTCCCTCTGTGTGTATGGGTGCACAGCAGGGAGGGAATAATGCCTACCAGTCAGCTTGTAGTGAAGATCAAGATTTGGGGTGTAAATGGCCCTGCACAGGGCCTTCTGCAGGCAATTGTAACTCAGTTTTCCTGGGAGCACACAGGATCAGACTGCTTGCAGTCAAGAAGGACCTGTCTTGGGCGCCTGGGTGGCTCAGTTGGTTGGGCGACTGCCTTTGGCTCAGGTCATGATCCTGGAGTCCCGGGATCGAGTCCCACATCGGGCTCCGTGCTCGGCGGGGAGTCTGCTTCTCCCTCTGACCCTCCCCCCTCTCATGTGCTCTCTCTCAAATAAATAAATAAAATCTTAAAAAAAAAAAAAAAAAAAAGAAGGACCTGTCTTGTGGGCAGGGGTCTTGGCTCCCAGTAGCCAGAGGAAGCTGGGGTCTTGACGGGGGCTTTCCCTTTCCCCATCAGCTTTCCCCTTAACCCCTTCACTGCACCTGCCTGGGCTAGCCCGGCTCCCTCGTGCCTGGGGAAGGGGCACATTTCACACACTGAGCCCATTCCATCTTCCCAAGTCCCAAGTTCATATGGCTGCTTCAGTCTTCATATCAAACCCTCTGCACCCTGTTTTGTGAATAAGGAAACTGGCCCAGAGGGCTCAGGTAATTTGCCTGTGACTTATTTGCTCTCTGACCCAGGACAAATGTCTGAACTGTGCTAGTCCTCATTTGACAAGTGGGAGAAATTGTTAGCTCTAGGGTGATGATGACGATTAGGTGTTTAAGCCCCAAAGGTGTTGAGTGGTCCCTTTTGTTCTAAGAACCTTTAGCATAATCCTGATGTAGGAACAAACCAGAGAAAGAGCCGACTCCTTGCCCGCCATCCTCAGCTGTGTCTCGCTGCCAAGAGCGGATTGCTGAAGAACCAGATCTCATGGGTGTTCTCAGTACCTACTGTGTCATTTAATCCTCTTAGCCTGAGAGATGGGTGATTTATCCCATTTTCAGATAAAGAAATTAGGTTGGATTTAAATAACTGGTCTGGGATCCCATGGTTGGACAGTAGCAGACCTGGGAGACTCAGCACAGAACCCTTACCACCAAGCCCTTTGTTCTTTTTGTGACACTGGGGCCCCTTGCTGCACCCAGATGGTGACATGAGAGGGCCACTCCACACTTGCTGATGTGGGAAATTAAATTCTCTCGCGGCAGGAATGGAACAACTTCAGAGCAGGCCTGCCCCTCCCACATACATCACTCCAGTCTGATTTCTGTGCCTTGTTAAACCCACCAAAATGGCCTCATCCCTGCAGGGCCCAACCAAGTCCATCTTGTTTTCTTCTGACTGCCTTAAAAAAAAAAAAAAAAAGGGCAAGGCGGGGCCACCACTCTTTCCTTCCATGCCGGTCACAGGGCCGGCAAACAGCAGCTGTTAAACCTGGGTGGCAGCAAACTGGCTGAGCCTCGTTTGTTAGTAACCAAGAGGTGCTTCTCCTCAAAGGCAGGACGGGAGCGGTCAGTTGAGGCTCAGCGAGAGGCTGGCAGCCGAAGTCTGCTTGCATGGGCTGCCCCAGGCAGGAGGCTGGGACCATGGGGGGGCGCCTGTGGCTTAGCCTCTCTCTGCGGGGTAGAGTTGACCGATCAAATACAGGATGTATTTGGGATGTACTTGCGCCAAAAAATTATTTTGTCTATTCAAAATTCCAATTTAACTGGATGTCTTGAATTTTTATTTTCTAAAATCTGGCAATCCTAGACTGTAGATCACATGACCTCTCAAAACTTTGATTTGCTCGTCTGAAAAATTCGGCTAAAACACCCTCCCTTAGGGGTACAGTGAGATAAGTAATATTCTAATGAGGAAACCATTCTTCAATATCACCACCCCTCCTCCTCTAGTCTGGCTTGGTTCAGCTAACCCAGAGCACCCTAGCTGTCCGTCCCTAGCTGCGTTCCACAGGCCCTGGAGTTTGTTTGCGAGGGGGAGAGCGGAGGGGTAAGCTGATGGCTGAATCTAGGAACCTTTCCCAGGGCCTGACCTTGAAAATCCAGGCCCAGCCAGGCCGCCTTGACGGCTGCTAGGGAGGACAGGTGCCCGAAGGACAGCGACAGCTGAAGCCCAGTCTTCTGTTTGCAGCAGCAGCAGCTCCAGGGCCTGGGAGGCTAAGAGGAGGAAGATCCCCCCCCCCACACCCCCACTCCCATGACTGTATGCCTTCTCTAGGGACTGTGCTGTGGACAGGCCTGGATGGTCTGCCTTGGGCCTAGTTGAGGCTCCCCAAGCTGGAGGCATCTTGGTCTTGTAATTTGCTCTTCCCCGACCCCCCTCCAAGCCTCCTAGGGCTGTGGGAGCCAGACACACCCCCCACCCCCCGCAAAGCCCGTGCGTGGCTCAGGAGGTGGCCTACCTGTCGCACACCTGGAGGAGGAAATCATTGACCAGGCTCTCGTGGCGGCTGCAGATGCTCTTCTGGAAGGCGCTCTTGAGCCAGTCCTCAATGCTGCACACCTGCACGCGGCTGGAGTACCAGCAGATGGAGAGGCTCCTGAGGGCCGGGCTCAGGAGGAAGTTGTCCTTCTTGAGCTCTAGGAGGGATCGAAAATGCAGCAGGGGCCAGAGTGCGGGGTCCTCAAACACGTCCTGGAGCTGGGGGCAGGTCCTGGCCAGGTTCTTCCTGCTGTCCTTGTCCAGGAAGGAGAAGAGGTGCAGCAGGCACTCCCGGTTGAGCTGGGTGATGTGCATGGTGTGCACCCAGGGACCTGACCTTCCTCCTCCTCCTCCTCCTCCTCCTCCTCCTCCTCCTCCCTGGCTCTGGGCTGGTGGACATATATGGTTGAGGAATGGTGTTTATTTTTGGCTAACAACTGGTGCTGAAGCTCTGAGAACAGGGCGGGGGGAGCCAGGATCCAGACATACGTGCGGCAGTCTGTGGTTCGGCTCAAGTTCAGAGAAATTGAAAATCCTGGCAGAAAAGCAGCCTATTGAAGTTAAATAGCTTCCTTAAAAGGGATTTCTTTCCCTTTTTAGCTGACAGTGGTGCTTAGCAGAGAGCTCTTTTGGCTTTTCCCAAGGCATTTTCATTGGAGGTGGCCGGCCAGACCACCTGTCTGGGCCTGCAGTCTGCTCACTGAGAGGGACCCTGATTATAAATGGGATCTGTTTCCATTCTCGAATATGTATGTGTGAGTCTTCTGCTCCACTCCTAATAGGAGTTATTTATAAAGAGCGAAGGGTGACAGTTTTGTGTTCAAAGCTGTAAGCTGAAGCCGGGGTAAGGCCCCTTTCCCTGTGATCTTCACTCAGTGGTGATGGTTTGCGTGCTTGGCCCAACTACCTTCAGACCCTGCTGCCCTGTGCCAGGCAAAGGGATTTCCTCGGCCTCCCAGCTGGCTCTGTTTTTACCGAGTTGTTGCATAAAGATTTATCTTAAGTAGCTTAGCTCTCCAAGGTTCTTCTGTGTGTATGTGCGTACCATGTTAAGCTTAAGTTTACTTGGCTTTACATCTTAACATTTTCCCAATTACGTGCCCTGTTGTATCTCGTTTGTATTTCCCAAAATGTCAGGATGGATGCGGGAGCTCTTAGTACAAAACTGCTTGAAACAGTTTTAGGTTAAAGTGTTTGAGTCTCAGCTTGCCCTTTAAGCCAGCCAGACACCACCGTCTTTGTGAAAGCCTTCGTTCGGTCTGCTCCCTGGGAGGGATGGTAGCCTAGGCAGGCTGTCTGGAGGTCTACCTCTTTTAAATTCTCCTTTCCTGAAGTAACAGATTTCTCACCTCGTGGATCGTTTTTCTAACCCTGCTTCCCTCCCAGGCCCACCCCAGATCCTACTGTGATTGTGCTGCTGTGAACTGGCAGCTGTGTGTGCTGGTTCGGGGGGTGCTGACAGGAAGGGCTGCACTGTCTGCAGCAGGGAGGCAGGGGACACCACCCGAGTGGTCACCTTTGTTCATTCTCCCATTTGTTGGGATCGGAAGGAAAGGAATACTTTGCGTGCAGTTGTGTGGAGTCAGGCGGATGAGGCAGCTGTGTCGGACCCTCTTCTGGAACTAAGGCTTGGTCGTTCCTGGTGCAGCTTTGCCTTCAAAAGCACAGCGCAGCTCAGGAAAGAGCAGCCATTCTCGCCAACTCCGAGACCCCAGGCTCCGCGTCCTGGTGCTTGGTTACCCCAGCAGTGCCAAGGGAAGGGGTGTCTTGTCTCAACATCCCCCAAGAACCAGCTAAAGGATGCAGTTCTTAGGCAAAGGGTAACTCGCTACTCTAATACCGAGGGCTAATTATGTCAGTGGTGCGCCGCGGCTGACCGCTGCCGGCCCTCTCTGGCTCTCGCTGCGCTCACCCAAAGGGCGCACCGACAAGGCCGCCTTACCTCCACTCTTCCTCGCAAATCCTATCCGAGCCGGTACTCTTCAGTGTGCTGACCTCTGGAAACGGACCGTTCTTTCGGCTTCGTAAAAGGCTGGCCACTGGGCCGCCCTCGTGGCCCGTCGAGGCTCCCCCACGGAGCCGTGCGTGCTGCCGGCGGGGTGGGGAGCACCCAGGACGCGGGGAGGGTCTGGGCCGCCAGGGTGGCGTGGACAGCACAGCTGCGGCACGGCTCCCTGGCCCCGCCGCCGCCGCCGCCGCCGCCGCCGCCGCGCAGCGCCTCCCCAGCTGCCAGGCGGCGGCTGCCGCGAGGAGCGGGCTGGACGGGACCTGGAGGCAAAACCATTTGCCTCTGTTTCCAGACTGAGAGGAGCAGGCAAATAACAGAAAAACGATGTGTGGCGGCAGAGGGCGGTTTTCCTGTTTGCAGGGGACGACGGGGGCAGAGAGGTCGTATATAGGAGCGTACTGAAAAGCCGAAACTTTATTTTTTAACAGTGGCACTTACTTGCATGCCTTACTTTAAAAGGGGACCAATGTCCTTTGCTCAGGGCCCCAGAGCCGGTCCCTCAGGGCGGGGTCTAGCTCTGCAGGAGGCAAGCGGGCCTCGTCTTACAGGACGAGGCGGCAGAGGGGAGGCAGGACGCTGCCGCTGGCCTCCGTGTGCCCGGGCCGCGGCTCCAGCACCTCTGCGCAGGCGCGAGCGCAGCCCCCCCTGCCCGCTCCCTGCCGCCGCCGCCGCCCGGCCCTCCGGCCGCCTCAGCCCTGCCGCCTCCCCTCCGGCGGCCCCGCGTGGGGCGGGCGCCGGCCGACCGGGCCGTCCCCTGAGCAGGTACCCCGACTTTCACGTGGCTCCCCTGAAAGCAGTTCAGAAATAATAGTCAAGAGGAAAGAGACCAGAACTTTAATGATACTTTTATCCATAAAAGAGTTCAGGTTGGTGAAGCAGAAAAGGGTTGTGATTACAACGTAAATGAAATCAGTCACTTGCACCGTTAATCCTCTCGCATCATACAAACTAGGCTTTCGTGGCGAGTGAGTACATGAGACGCAGCACTGCGGGGGGTGGGTGTTGGGGTCTGGATCCACGGTGCTCAGAGCCGGGGGAGGCGTCACACCAGCGAGGCGAGCCGGAGACCTTGCCCTACAGCACCCCCCCCGCCCCGCGGGCACGTTCCTGTGGCTGCACCCGTGTCCTGGGCCCCACGCCCCGGCCGCAGGAACAGACTCTCCTGAGCCTTTTCAGGGCCCAAGTGACGAGGCCACGTCAGCAACAGGGTGTGTGAGGGAGTTGAGGGGACGCTGGGGCCTGAGGTGGAAGAAATAAATCTAAATAAACTTATGTACACTAAACCATTGAAAGAGGTTTGGCTTTTAAGAAATAAATATGTCCCCAACCCCAGAAACCAAGCTGCTGGGTAGGTTCACTTAACCAGGGCCTGTACACTTCACCGGTTGAATTCTATGACGTATGTCATCACTAGACACTGAGTAGAATACAGTGGATAAGCAAAGGTTTCTCCACCATGGAGAGAGATTTGTGTTGCCACAAACTGTTTCCATCACCCATCTGTGTGGGAGGACTTCTGAGGAAGTGTTCTTGTTCCAGGGAGCCATGGGGCAGAGCGAGGCACCGCCTCGGCCGCGGCCTCTGCGGGACACGCCACACGCGCAGAGCGCCCGGCGCGAGCGGAAAGCCCTGAAGAGCACGCGGAGATCAGCTTTTTAAAATAGGTGTGATAAGGCTACACAGTTAAATTTTTTAAATACAAACAGGCACATTTACATCACTGGCGTTCAAATGCGCAATTCAAAGGGATCCAGTCACTTTTCCAAAGGAGCCTTCATAATGTCACTCAAAACATTTCTGCTTCGATAAAATCAAGCAATAGAACCACTCCAGAAATTCAAAGAGGAGATGTGTCCGTCTCTCAAGCCAACAGCGCTGCCTGTCTGAGGACCACTTTCCCCAACAAAGCGGTCTGGCTGTCACAAAGTTGCTTTTGGTATAAAAAGACCGTTTTTCTCCACCAATATGCACACTGCCCAAGGCTATAATGCTGCAGTCCTCCAGTGGGCCCCCTCGGAGAGACAAAGGAAGTGCAAATGTTAGAAGTCCCAGCTGTATGCCTTCTAAGTAAAAAAGGCTGGATTCACAGGAGATACCGAACAGATCAAAGAAGAGGCACATTCCACGTTCAATTGTATGTGGTGTTAATGTATTAATATAGATCAAATTATGTGCAACTTTCACTTTTGTAGATCAAAAGGTTAAATACCAAAATCTCTTATGGTTCAACCTCATGCAATTTAGCACTGTCAACTATTTTACATACATGTTTCCCTCTTAATTAGCTTCTGGACTCCGTGTCTAAGTTGTAAGACCGAACCACGACAGCGAAGCCCTCTTCTCCGGAGTGAAAACGCAGACCAGCGCCGTCCAAAAGCCCTACACACTGATGGCACGGCCCTAGGCCTAAACATTCTCTGCCACAAGCGGCTGCTGAGCCCTTGGAATGTAGCTAGTGGTACTGAAGAACTGGGTTTTAAACTTAATTTTCATTAAAACTTCAATAACCACATGTGACCAGTGACTGCCATACCAGATAGTACAGGTTTAGCCATGACCGCAGTTTGTTCCAGGCCATGTTCAAGTGTTTAACAGCAGCTGATTTCTGCCCTGAGAAAAATACAGGATTTATCTAGCGAATATTAAAATGGAAATGGAGCCACATCTGCTCCTGCAATTTCAAATATCTGACCCAGGAGGACAGCCATCAGATTATTCATGCACTTAAAAACAAACTTGGCTTTTTTAATAGGAGAAACAAGATTACCAAAAATTTTGGCTGACTGGCTTAATATGAAAGACATTCTGCCCCTTCTAACAACTTGTAGAGGACAGAAAAGAAACTGACTGGAATAAGAGACGTGCTGACAGCAGTGCACGGCCCTATGCTAGAGCCTACTGGGGAGTGTGTGTTCTCGCTCGCTCGCTCGCTCTCCCTCCCTCTCTCCAATCTGCAAGTACTGCCACCCCCACCCCATCAACAGACTGGCCTGGACTGCTTGCAGAATCACAGTTACCTTCCTTAGATGGAATTCTGGTTCCAGATTTCAATTTGAGTTCAATCTTAATAGTGCTTGTACCTATTTTTCTTGAAAACAATTTTGAAACAAAGACTACTAAACTCAAGAACAGAAACTATTCAAAGTGAGATATTTTCAGTTTGCTCTGCTATCAGGATAGGCCAGTGAGAGTTGTTAAAAACCAAAGTAGCAAGACTCAGATTTCCTTCTATAGAAGCAGACCCCATAGTGTTACCTGAAGTGCAGGTGAAGGTCAGAATCCACTCTGGAGGTCGGCATCTCGACCTCAGATGGCCAAGCAAGAAATAAGACAGAAGTGGCCATGTAGTTATTCCCAGCATGATAGCCAGTGGGGGAACTAGATGCCGGTTTGAAAGGCAAACAGAAGCTATGGTTTCCTCTCCCTGGATAACCTCTACACCGTGTAGCGGAGTCTGAGATTTTTAAACACTCAATGTGTTTGGTCGTCTTTGGACTTTTCTGTACTCCTAGCTCCATGAGCACAAACACACAAGCAAAAAATATCCCCAGAACAAAACAGAAAAACTCAAAAGGAGTAACTCTTGAATTTGCAGTGCAGGCACGACTGAACCAACACATTTATTTAGTTAGTGCTGATGAACAGCAGCCTGGAGAGCCACCCAGAGCAGCAGTTACCTGGCCTGCTTAATGATGCCCTCCCACTTCTCTTTTACAATCAGAAGGAACGATTACTGAGCAGCGAAATCCTGTGGGCCACAAATGATGTGCACACATGATCCTGGGGGGTGGATTTCCAGTCAACCTGGTCTCCGTGACCGCTGTGAAGGGCAGCAGACCGTTAGGCTCTCTTCACAATCCGGAACACCTCTTGCTTGCAGCATGCGAGAGTAACAAAGCATTGATGTAAATGTGCCTCAAAGTGAGAACTGGAAACAGTAATATAAAAAAAAGTCAAATAGAACTAAGTTCTTGAAACTACATATAAAAACTGAATTATTACAACTAAAGCAGCAAATCAAAATATCTGCTGAGGTTTTCTGGTAGAACTAAAAAAACAAATTAGTTGGTGCCCATGTTCAATACGTCACTACCACTGACAAAATAAAACTAAACCCAAAATAGGAAATTGAAAAGTGCATAATGAAATTAAATCTTGGATCAAGTATTTACGGAAAATTGGAAATGTTTGTCCGGTATAGTTGACAAATAATGATTTAAAGGAGGTATTAAAGTTTATCTGATCCAGCTTTGGCCTGGCGTTCCACATAGAAAAGGATGTAGGCCTTTGCTTTCACAACGGTGTCTTCATCAGTCAGTGTTACAGTACTGTCATTGAAATGGAACCAGCGACCTTCATGAGTTGCATAGGCTGTGTAATGTCCAGAACCGACCCTGTAAGGGAAAGTAAAAAAAAAATGAAAAAAGGGCTACAGAAATAACAAAAGGATATGCTCAATCATAGAATTTGTTAGATATATAATAAATTATAAGTACTGTAATAGAGAATACACCCTAGAGACTTGTGGTTTAAGATGGCTGATTGAGCTCAGGTGTTTGTGTTCCTCAAAATCCACTGAAATGACCAGGAATATACTGACATTGGAAATACAGGGAAGAGTGCCATCGAATGACCAGAAACTGAAGATTTTCTACAACACACAAAGCAGTGTTCACACGGCACTGGGTTAATAGAGAAACCCAAGAGCTAAGCACTCTTACCCTAACGAGCATAGGTCAAGGTCTAGGGAAACCTGGACCACTGAAGAACAGATTTCCATCACAGCCTTGGAAAAAACCTGAGCTTGAGAAAGTAATCTGCCTTCAGGGAAGTGCCCTCCCTGTACTGTGGCCTGCAAGCACTTTGCTTTGCTTTGCTTTTTTAAAGATTTTATTTATTTGAGAGCAAGCGTGAGAAGGGGGAGGGTCAGAGGGAGAAGAAGACTCCCCACTGAGCAGGGAGCCCGACGCAGGACTCGATTCCGGGACTCCAGGATCATGACCTGAGCTGAAGGTAGTTGCTCAACCAACTGAGCCAGCCAGGCGCCCCCGCAAGCGCTTTTCTGTCAGCACGACCCAGCCACGCACCCATGGAGCCCTAGAGTCAGCCCTCCCAGCAGGAGAAAAGCCTTTGGTAGAACAGACACCCCACAAGTGCTAGGAAAACCCTTACCATTTACCAATAATGATCAATCTCATCATTTATTATGACTGAATAAACAGCCCCAAACCATCAAAACCCGGGGGGCGGGGGGTGTGGATAGTGTGAAAGAGAAGTTCTGGGAAGAACAAGTAAAGCAATTAACCACTAACATTTAATGCAGAAAACCAAAGAGCTTTAAAATTCTAATACCGATGGTTTCAAAAAGATACTGCAGCCATAAAACAAGAATGTTCCTATTATGAAAGGAAGTTATCAGAAAAATGGATTGCCACAGTATTAAACATTTCACAGAGGAGCTTATCTTCAATTTGGATACAGATGAAATCCAAATTGGTGATTTGGAAAAATAGGCCAGGGCAGTCTTCAGAAACACGGATGGAAATCACTGAACAGTGGTTAAAATGTGTGAAAGAACCGGAAAATTAACTATATAGGAGGTCCCCCCCCATCCTTGGCTTTGCTTTCCAGTTTAGTTACCCACAGTAGGCTGTGGTCCAGAAGATGATCCTCCTTGTAACCTCTCATCAAAAGGTCAACAGAAGCTAACACGACCACAATTACAATTAATATTAAATTATAATTGTAAATTAAACTATCATAGGTACATATGTATAAGAAAAACTAGAGTGTATATATATAGGATTTGGTACTGTCTGCAGTTTCAGGCATCCACTGGGGGTCTTGGAATGTATTCATACAGGTGGGAGGGGGCTGCTGTACGTGTAATATCGGTTCCAAAAAGTAGAGAGGGGGTGGGGAACAAACACTATTTCCAGGAGTGGAAGACACTGATGAAGAGGATCATCATCCACCACCAAGCCAGGAATACATTTACTGTAATTTCTTAAATCCAAAGACAGGATCCTGTAACCGTCCAATGAGGAAAAAACGTTGCCTATAAAGGGATGAGACTCAGACTGGTAGTAGACTTGGCCCTTGTAACTATGAATGATGAAGTCCAGGAAGCAATGTCTACAGAGTTGAGGGAAAACGGTTTTCAACATGGACAGGGTTTTGTCCACATTTGAAGGTAAAATAGTGAATCTCAAGAAATCAGAAGGTATAAACTAATACAAATTTTCAGAAAAACAAAAATTCAATAAAAATGAATCTTTAAAATAGATGACACGAAGTTCCAAATAATTTCCCATTTTTCCCCAATTTAAATGTCATCTGACAAAGGAAACAAAAACTTTGGAGTGAAGACTACTCAGGATTTTGTGGACAAACAGCTTAGGTTCTGAATGCTGAGCTCCAATGAACCCTTCTCCATTTTGCTTTCATGTGCCTTCCCTCCTTCACAACATCCTTTCAAGAATATTCTTTCACACCAAGATGGAAAGAAAACTCTACTTCACTCACTTTAACGTATCCTTTTTTTAGGGAGTTGAGGGGAGAATTATCCAGAGTGGTGTGAAACTGCTGGTCTCCACCGTGCGTTTCCCAAGCACGAGAAGCCACTGACACACTTACCCGGAACCATGGTGCACCACCACAGCGGCAAGGTCGTACAGGCAGTGCTCGGGGCCTCTGTTCTCAGGCTACAGAAAAAGGGAGAAGACATCCCAGGACTGAGTTAGCAGCAGTGCTCAGTGACCTCCTATCTCCTACCTCAGTGTGAAGACTTGATTTGACTGAAGAGCCATCTTTCACCATCTAACAAAGATAACTGATCTTACCTCTAGCAAGTAGCATTTCATGTCCAGGCCTCTCAGGGGAAATTCTACATAGGTATCAACTTTGTTTCTTAAATATGCAGTCCAATGAAATCGTTTCAAATGTAAGCATAGCACCTGGATGAGAGACAAATCAGACAAAGATTATAAATAATTTACATTTCAATAAAATTAACTACTTGGTACTAATGTCTCGATATTTTAGGTGGCCTATCAGTTTATCTTTGGAACCCTGATGGTACTTTCTTCCACATTGTGATGTTGTGATTTATAATATAACCCCTGAAACTAATATTACAGTGCATGTTAACGAACTGGAATTAAAATAAAAACTAAATAAATATAATATATATAAATTATATAAATAAATAGGTCTTTACCCTCTGTCCTAACAGAGCTCCTAAACCCTTAGAATTTCCTAAATGGTAGCCATAAAGGTGTCTTTGTTGTGTTAATGAGGTGACTTTCGGACCACACCTAAGGATAGGGGCTGGTTGGGGGAGGGGGGCGCCACACCCAACCCTGTGATTACGGAGTTGGAACTTTCAGTCTCCCCAGTCTCCCCGCCCCCCACCCCAACTCCAGGGAGGGGAGAGGGGCTGGGAGTTGAACAACTGTCAACAGCCAGTGAGTTACTCAGTCAAGCCTATGTAATGAAGCCGCCATAAAAATCCAAAGTGAGGGGTTTAGAGAGCTTCCAGATGGGGAACCAGAACAGTTCAAGGCCCGTGCCAGGCCCAAACTGCACAATGGCAGAAGCTCCTCTGTTCAGGACTCCGCTCTACCTATCTCCTCATACATGTCTGTAGTCTGTTGGTCAGAAGCATAAAGTAACAAGTGACTGGCTTCTGAAGCGGAGGCAGTCTTGGGGGACTGAGACCTGACCCTGTGGAATCTGATCGCTGTCTCCGGGTAGACAGTGTCAGAGTTGCAGGGAATCGTAGGACACCCCGCTGTTGCTCAGTGGTGGTGTGGTGGGAAACCACCTTCCACACGCTGTAAATTGTGATCAGGACACATTAATTATGCATTCTCAAAGGGTTTCTTTACCTTTCACTAGCAACTCGAGAGACCGATAGAGAACACAGGCTAAAGTTACAAAAAGATTTGTCTTCTCATCAATCAAACATTTTTCCTCTCAAAATTGCATTATAATTTGAAACTCAGTCCTTACCTTGGGGAGTTTTTGAATCCAAAACTTTTTAGTGGATTTTTGTTTCTTTTTGCATTTGTGGCACATATATAACTCTGTCTCATCAAGTTCTTCTAAGTCCGTGAAACTGCGAAGACAATCTAAAACCAAATTGATTTGGGCAGCATTAAAACAGGAGGCCTTCTACAGAGGCAATCCACTGTAGCAAACAGACTGTGAACTTTGAAGCTGGACAACTCTGGCTCCAATCTCAGCGTTATCAACTCAGTGACCTTGGAAAAAAGTCAGCCTTTCTCAGTTGCAAAATGGAGACCAAAAAACTAACAAAAACAAAAACAAAACCTACTCTGAAGCACTGTTGTGAGGAAAAATACTGTGTGTCAAGTGCCTGGCATCATGTCTGACATCTGGTAACCATCACTTAATGACAGGTGGTACTGCTGGGTTTGGTGCTATTAATGAAGAATTAGTCTGGATACTTTTGCTAAAAATGGTTTCCTTAATTAAAAAAATCAAGGTTTGAGCAGCAATCTTCTCTCAATATCTTACCTTATAGAGGACAAAGCCCCCAAGTTCATAAAAAAGTCAGGTTTAGAGCAAACATTTTCACAGTCATAACTTATTAAAAAATAAACGCAGATGACAGAAGGCTACATTACCAACCTTCCTACGATACCTCCAGGGAATCCTCTGTTCCAGGCTCTACTCTCAGTCCCCTGGACAAACCACAGATAAATTTTTTTGAAGGCTTGTGTAATCTGGGGTTTGGTAAACTGCGGCCCCAAGCCAAATCCAGCCACCTGGTTTTGTAAATAAGGTTTTCTTTTCTTTCTTTTTTTTAAAGATTTTATTTATTTGACACAGAGACCGCGAGAGAGGGAACACAAGTAGGGGGATTGGGAGAGGGAGAAGCAGGCTTCCAGCTGAGCAGGGAGCCCGATGCGGGGCTCGATCCCAGGGCCCTGGGATCATGACCTGAGCCGAAGGCAGACGCTTAACAACTGAGCCACCCAGGCGCCCCTGTAAATAAGGTTTTCTTGAACACAGACACGCCCACTGATTCATGTATCCTCTGTGGCTGCTTATATACAAGAGCAGAGTCGAGGAGTTGGGACGCAGACCTTACTTGCAGTAATGCCTAAAGTATTTACTATCTGGCCCTTTATAAAGAGTTTGCCAACGCCTGTTGCAATCAGTAAGGTATGTATTGTTCTGTAGAGAAATAATATTATTCCTTTTAGAGAAGAGTATGTATGCCTGTGTACCCAGCACTCAGAAATGGATTCTCTCCAGTACTTGAGGAGCCAAACTTTATGTGAATGGCATCCCCTAGAGTTGTGCAGTGAGCAACCTGAGCAGCCAGGTGTGGGAGCCCTGTTAGGAGTTTCCTGTATTTTCCCAGTAACAGACCCCATCTTTCCCTCTAGAAATAGACATTATCCTGAATTTTGTGTTAATCATCTTTTTGCTTGCCTTTATAGACCACATACATACACATATGCATCTTTAAATAGTATAATGTTTAGTTTGAAAAGTTGGGTAGCAAGCACTAAACCTAGCTATATGAGGAAAAGCAACACTGTCTGTACTCAAGAATTTTCAGGTCATAGTCCACCTTGGCTCCCAAGAGAAGAGAATAAGAAAGAGCCTAGTGACACAGGCCCATGTGGAAAAGGGGAACCATGCATTCTTTGTGGAGTTGTGTGTTTGGTTTGGTTTGGTTTTTTTGAGGTATAATTGGCACCTAACATATTAATTTCAGCTATACAATATACATTCAATATTTGTATCTGTTGGGACATGATCACCACAATAAGTCTAATTAACATCCATTAAGATTTTTTTCCTGTGATGAGAACTTTTTATTATCTTAGCGACTTTTTATTTTTTAAAGATTTTATTTATTTGACAGAGACACAGCAAGAGAGGGAACACAACAAGCAGGGGGAGTGGGAGAGGGAGAAGCAGGCTTCCCGCTGAGCAGGGAGCCCGACATGGGGCTCGATCCCAGGATCCTAGGACCATGACCTGAGCTGAAGGCAGATGCTTAATGACTGAGCCACCCAGGTGCACCCCTATCTTAGCAACTTTTAAGTATACAATACAGTATTAACTATAGTCACCATGCTATATTATTACATCCCCATGACTTATTTATAACCTCAAGTTTCTACTTTTTGACCCCTTTCAAGTATTTTGCCCACTTCCCATCCCACACCTCTGGTAACTACCAATTTATTTTCTGTATCTATGAACTTGGTGTGGGGTTTTTTAGATTCCACATATAAATGAGATCATGTGGTATTTGTCTTTCTCTGACTTTAACTTAGCATAATGCCCTCAAGTTCCATCCATTTTGTTCTAAATGGCAAGATTTCATTCTTTATGGCTGAATAATATGTCATTATATAAACATATTGTCTTTATCCATTCATCCAACAGTTGCTTCTTGGATTATTGTAAATAATGCTGCATGAACATAGGGATCATATCTTTTCAAGTTAGTATTTTCTTTTCTTTTTTTTTTTTTTTTTTAAAGATTTTATTTATTTGACAGAGAGAGACACAGCGAGAGAGTGAACAAAAGCAGGGGGAGTGGGAGAGGGAGAAGCAGGCTTCCCGCCGAGCAGGGAGCCCGATGCAGGGCTCGATCCCAGGACCCTGGGATCATGACCTGAGCCGAAGGCAGACGCTTAACGACTGAGCCACCCAGGCGCCCTCAAGTTAGTATTTTCATTTTCTTTGGAAAAATACCCAGAAGTGGAACTGTTGGATCATATGGTAGTTCTACTTTAATTTTTTTTAACATTTTTTATTGAAGTTCAATTAACATATAATGTATTACTGGTTTCATAGGTAAAGGCCTGTGATTCATTAGTCTTGTATAATACCCAGTGCTCATTACATCACAGGTCCTCCTTAATGTCCATCACCCAGTTACCCCCATCCCTCCACCCCTCTTCCTTCCAGCAACCCTCAGTTTGTTTCCTGTGATTAAGAGTCTCTTATGGTTTGTCTCCCTCTCTGGTTTCATCTTGTTTTATTTTTTCCTCTCTTCCCCTAGGATCCTCTGTTTTGTTTCTTAAATTCCACATCAGTGAGATCATATGGTAACTGTCTTTCTCTGACTGACTTATTTCGCTTAGCATAATACCCTCTAGTTCCATCCACGTCATTGCAAATGGCTAGATTTCATTTTTTGATGGCTGCATAATATTCCATCACACACACACACACATCTTTATCCATTCATCTGTCGATGGACATCTGGGCTCTTTCCATAGTTTGGCTATTGTGGACATTGCTGCTATAAACACTGGGGTGCACATGCCCCTTCGGGTCACTACATTTGTATCTTTGGGGTAAATAGTGCAATTGCTGGGTCGTAGGGTAGCTCTATTTTCTTGAGGAACACCCCCCCCCCCGTTTTCCACAGTGGCTGTGCCAATTTACATTCCAACAGTGCATAAGGGTTCCATTTACTCCACATCCTCCCTAACACTTGTTATTTCTTATGTTTTTGATAACAGCCATTGTAACAGTTGTGAAGTGATAGCTCATTGTGGTTTGATTTGCATTTCCCTGATGAGTGATGTAGAGCATCTTTTCATTTACCTGTTGGCTATCTGTATGTCATCTTTGGAAAGATGTCTATTAGGATTTTCTCCCTTTTTCTAAAATGGAACTGGTTGTTGTTTTGTTTTTGCTACTGAGTTGTATGGGTTCTTTATACATTCTGGATATTAAACCCCTTAACAAACACTATTTACAAGTATTTTCTCCCATTCAGTAATTTGCCTTCTCATTTTATTCCCTTTGCTGTACAGAGGCTTTTTGGTTTGAAGTAATCCCTTGTATTTAATTTTGCTTTTGTTGCCTTTGCTTTTGGAGACAGATTCAAAAAGTCACTGCCAAGACCTATGTCAAGAAGTTTACTACCTACGTTTTCTTCTGGAACCTTCATGGTTTCAGGTCCTAGGTTCCAGTCTTCAATCCATTTTGAGTTAACTTTTGTGTATGGTGTAAGAAAGTAGTCCACTTTCACTCCTTTGCATGTGGCTGTTCAGTTTTCCCAAAATCATTTATTGACGAGATTATCCTTTCCCCTTGTATATTCTTGGCTCCTTTGTTGTAAATTGACCATGTATGTATGGTTTATTTCTGGGCTCTATTCTGTTCCACTGATATGTCTGTTTCTATGCCAAAACCATACTGTTGTGACTACTATGGCTTTGTAATTTAGTTTAAAATCAAGGCATGTGAAGCCTCTGGCTTTGTTCTTCTTCTTTTTTTTAAGATTTTATTTATTTATTTGAAAAAGAGAGACCGTGAGAGAGGGAACGCAAGCAGGGGGAGTGGGAGAGGGAGAAGCAGGCTTCCCACGGAGCAGGGAGCCCGATGCGGGGCTCGATCCCAGGACCCTGGGATCATAACCTGAGCCAAAGGCAGATGCTTAACGCCTGAGCCACCCAGGCGCCCCATGGCTTTGTTCTTTCTCAAGATTTCTTTGCCTATTTGGGGTCTTTTGTGATTCCATACAAAACTTAGGATTGTTTGTTCTACTTCTATGAAAAATACCATTGGAATTTTGATAGGGATTGGACTGACTCTGTAGATTGCTTAGGGTAGTGTGAATAACATTAATTCTTCCAATCCATGGGCATGGTATATCTTTCCATTTGTTTGTGTCATCTTTAATTTCTTTCTTGTCTTACAGTTTTCAGTGTATAGGTCCTTTACCTCAGTTAAATTTATTCCTGGGTATTCTTTTTGATGCAATTGTAAAAGTGATTATTTTAATTTCTCTGATAGTTCATTATTAGTGTATAAAAATGCAATAGATTTTTGTGTTTTGATTTTGATCCTGCAACTTTACTGAATACATTTTTTTGGTGGAATCTTAAGGGTTTCTATATATAATATCATGTCATCTGTAAATAGTGACAGTTTTATGTCTTCCTTTCCAATTTAGATGCCTTTTTTTTTTCCTTGCCTAATTGCTCTGGTGAGAATTTTTAATACCTTATTGAATAAAAATGTTGAAAGTGGGCATCCCTGTTTTATACCTTATCTCTGAGGAAAAGCTTTCAGCTTTTCACTGTTGAGTATTTAACTATGGGCTTGTCATATATGGCCTTTA